TGGAAATTCTCCTCCTCGAACTGCACACGTAACCATAGCAATTAAAACTATCATATGATAGTCTCAAATAGAACAAGGGATTGTGCTGAAGAGTATGAAAGAGAATTGGAAATGAAATAAAATCGGGTTTAACGTCCTACTGTTCTGCTCCGACTGGGCTAATGAAGACGGGCATACGCCATACAGTGTCTATGAGGGAAATTTTGTCCGGGCAGCAGACAACTAGACAGCTGTCCTTGTCAGACCCTCTGTCCTGCACGACCGACAAGGGGGAGAATGAGAATTGGTGTTTAACGTCTACTCAACATAAACTAGGTCATTTCAGGGGTCACATGGTACAATTTAAACCAAATAAAAGCTTAGGGTCAAAACCAAGCCATTTGAGAGATCTTATGATCTGAAATGCACATGTCAGACTACCTAACATTCTTTAAATTGAATAAAAGAGAGAGAGAGAAATGGGGTTTGACGTCCACTCGACACAAACTAGGTCATTTCGGGACTAGCACATGGTTCAATATTATTTCAATAATTTGCTTGCGCGTAGGGGTCGGTAGCAGTGGGAGGAAACCGGAGGACCCGGAGAAAATCCACAAGGTTGGACAGGCGACCCTACTCCTTGTCACGTACAACCGAGGAATCAAAACAAATTGAATGAAAAGAAAACATTGGGGCCTTGACATAATATGGAAGTTAAAGACGGAGTAGACTGTAATCCTTACACAATATAGTGTTTATAAAATCACAAAGTTCTAGTAACTTCTACTGGTGTGATTTACGTAGTATACCTATTTTTTTTACCTATAGTTTTCTAGTAACTTCTACTTGGGGCCTTGACATATGGACATATTATACATACAGTGTTCTAGTAACTTCTACTTGGGGCCTTGGTGTAATTTACGTAGTATACCTATTTATTATGCATATCGATATCTTACGTTTATTTATCATATCTAGTTTTTATACGTAACTTACTTCTTATCCATTTACCATCACAAACATGACAAAAATCTTTAACAAAAACCTCACAGAATATAGTATTGGAATATTTGATACAGTGCCAACTTGTCCTGGATTGTCTGATGTGGTAAACATCAGGTTTATCAGTTTATTGTTAATTAATAATGTCAAGACCAGAAGAAATAGGGTTTAGCCTATTATGTCATGATCAAAGCCAGAGCTCTACAGCAGAGAGGGAGAGAGAGAGAGAGTCAGAGAGAGAGAGAGAGAGAGAGAGAGAGAGAGAGTTGAACTTCCACTCAACACAAACTAGATCATTTCGGGACTAACCTATGGTTTCAATCTTATTTCAATAATTTGCTTGTGCGTAGGGGTTTTCAGCAGTTGAAGGAAACCCGAGGACCCGGAGAAAAACCACGCCAGTTGACTCAATGACAGACCTTATGATACATTCGGCCATCCAACTCCCCCTCTAAAACAGAGTGTAACCAAATGATCTGCTAAAGACCCCTATGCTCAAGCTAATTATTGAAATAGAATTGAATCATATGTTAGTCCCGAAATGACCTAGTTTGTGTCGAGTGGATGTTAAATCCCATTTGTTTCTCTTTTGTAAATGTACAGGTATAAACAGGTATAAAGAGGTAACAGTATTTCCACCTGGAATATACCTTACACCTTACACATGTTGTATCAAACTTTGTATCTATAGTATAAAACATTCAACATAGATACCACTATATATAACCATAGCAACCATAGTAAACAACATAGATACCACTATATAACCATAGCAACTGTTGTTATAGTAAACAAGATTGCTGGTTTCCTCTCTAGTTCTTGGAATTCCTAACCTAACATATAGTAAATATTGACCTGACCCAGGCTAAGAGGAATTCACCCGTGTTTGATATCAAGTAACCTTGACAACAGAATAATAAACAAGACTTACAACTTAGAGATGGTGTTGGGGGGGTAGTATGTGAACCCATTTAAAGTGATAATTTGTATGTTATGTTATGTTTTGTATGTTATGATATTTTGTATGTTATGTTTTGTATGTTATGATATTTTGTATGTTATGTTTTGTATGTTATGTTTTGTATATGTTCAGTTTTGTATGGTATGTTTTGTATATGTTCTCTTTTGTATGTTATGATATTTTGTATGTTCTGTTTTATATGTTATGATGTTTTGTATGTTATGTTCTGTGTATGTTATGTTTTGTTTATGTTATATTTTGTATGAACATTAATTTTCTTGTGGGGGGGGGGGGGCAGGGGCATGTTTTGTATATGTACTATTTTATGTTTTTATACAATTTTTGTTGTTGTTAATGTGTTGTTCTGTTTTTAGCATATTATGTTTTGTATGTTATGTTTCACAAAGCTGTTCCTATTTATTTTCTGGAATTTTTTCCTGATAACAGAATGACAGATATTTTACTGTTACATATCAATATTCTGAATATTTCTTAAAAACAAAAAAACAAAAAAAAAACACTTTCGATTATTTTCTTGACAATTTCGATATTTTTTTAACATAATATCTGTAAACCTAAGACAGATAAATAATTTTGTGTTTTGCAAACTGTGCATTTTTCCCTGACTTTTACAGAGATACTAGGAAGATTTCAGACGAGATTTACCTGAGTTAGTTTATACCAGTATTGAATCTGACATTTGGGATGTTCTAATATTACGATCATGTCAAGGTTATGAAGAGATGTATTGGTCTGATTTCCCCCCCGTTAGCAAAAAAACCGCATCTAATTTCTCTACATACCATGGTAAAATATCATGTGGTGCTTATATAAAAAGATTGAACAACTTTATTCATTCTTTGCATGAGAATGAAGAGAGAACCCATGTTGAAATCTTTGAAATGTTGCCAGAATAAGAGAACCATACATTTGTGTTTCATGTTTTAAGGTTATTCATTGTATGAAACTCAGCTGTATCTGCTAGCCTTGTCCACATGTCTTAAAATTTGACCGAGAGAGAGAGAGGTTTTAACATCCAATCAAACCAGGTCACTTCTGGACTAACAAATGGTTCAACTTTATTTCAATAATTCAATTACACATAGGGATATTTAGCTTTAGAAGGCCTGGGGGAATACCCAAGAATTTTATCCAATCAAAAGCTCAGAGATAATATTTGTACTTTACATTTTATATAGGGCACTTTACAGTGATGCATTCAATGGCACTTCACAAAGTCTATCACAAACGTTAAAGGAATGCTTTATGGAAAAAGTATGTTTTGGTTTTTTTTTTTAAAAGTCTGACATTGTTTTACACTTCCTGGTAGGGTATTCCAGAGCTCCCCTCCCTCCCTGGACACATCCCTGAACAGCTACATCATCCATTCACTATAATTTGGCACATGCAGAAATAAAAATTGAACCATATGTTAGTCCCGAAATGACCTAGTCTGTGTTTAGTTGACATTAAACTCTCTCTCATATGAAATGGAGTTTAACGTCCTACTGTTCTGCTCCGACAGGGCTAATGAAGACGGGCATACGTCATACAGTGTGCTATGAGGGAAATTTTGCCTGGGTAGCGGCACTATGGCTTACTCTTATACTGAATTCCAACTGCCAGGGGATCTTTTATGTTCACGCCAATGTATACACTACACTAAACTCAGTCCTGCACCATGGGAAAACCACATCGGAAAATCCTGATGAACTTTCCTGGTCAATGCAGGGATTGAACACGCGACCTCCAGGCTAGCAAGCCAGCATCTTACCCACTTAGCCACCATGGCACCCTCATATTTAACATGCGGAAACTAATAATATATAGGAATCCAATACAAATATAAAACACATTAGCCAAATAAATAAGGTGTAAAATGTTTTAAACAATTCGAAATGAACCCATACAACAACATCACAAACTTATCAAGACTGTTTAAAATTTATAACAAAATATTTAATTACAAAAAGATTATTCAGGTGTCGTCTTACACAACAGGTATAAAACATAATCTCTTCAACATCCAGTTTTCATTAAAAATCTTATTTTCAATTTAATTACAAACTTGCAAACAGATTATTCAGGTGTTGTATTACAATATAACAGATATAAACATAATCTCTTCAACCTCCAGTTTTCATTAAAAATCTTATTTTAAATTTTCATATTTATAAAACAAACTCTCATCAATCTGGATTCAATTTGTTCCTGTAGTGAAATTTCTGTTGCTTTTCTAATGCAAAGTTCTTTACAAAGTTCATTATTTACAAACTGAAATGATGAAATAAACTCAAACCAAAATATTTCCCCCACCATTTCTAAATACATAATGACAGGAGTTGCTTTGTGTCATGGGTTTAGAGTTTTTTCATTTCACCCCCTTGAGATTTTGTGTCACTCTTCTTACATGGAAAGAATCATGTGTTGAATTCAAATGAATTCAAATGGATTCCTACTTTAAGAACAGGGGAGAGAGAGAGAGAGAGAGAGAGAGAGAGTACTAAGTCATTTCGGCACTACATGTACCATATGGTTCAATTTTATTTTTTCAATAATTCGAAGGTTCTTTAGCTGTGGGAGGAAACCAGTGTATAAATATATAAGTTATTATATATAAGTAATATATATTTGTTTATGTTACAGGTGTATAATATATGTTATTCCATATAAGGAATATATATTTATATTAGGAATATATATTCATATTAGGAATATATATTTATATTAGGAATATATATTTATATTAGGAATATATATTTATATTAGGAATATATATTTATATTAGGAATATATATTCATATTAGGAATATATATTTATATAAGGAATATATATTCATATTAGGAATATATATTTATATTAGGAATATATATTTATATTAGGAATATATATTTATATTAGGAATATATATTTATTTCAGTTATAAGTGTATAATATGCAAGCTATTCTATATTTGGACTATATATTTATATTTATTTCAATTATAAGTGTATAATTTTTAAGTTAGTCTGTATTAGGTATATATATTTGTTTCAGTTTAACAGTGACCTGACTTACCGTCCTGAACGACTGCTATATGACGAAGATCTAATTATAGCGTGAAAAAAAAGGTTTAATTTACAAAATCAGTAATAATTGACAGAAAACACACTCTCATGCAATACGGATTTGGGTGTATAAAAATTGGTATTACCATGGTAACACTGACACATTACCGTAGCAACACTTGCACAATACTATGGCAACACTGATACAGTACTGTTGAAACACTGATGAAGTACCATGGTAGCATGGACACAATATCATGGCAAAACTGATACAATACCATGGCAACACTGACACAATACTATGGTAATATTGACATATTACCATGGCAACACTGACACAATACCATGGTAACACTTTCACACTACCGTGGCAACACTGACAAAATACTATGTAACAATGCCACAATACCATGGCAACAATTGGATGATAAAATAAAAATAGCAACAGGGGGGAAGCACCAACCAATGAACAGGGAGAAGAAATAATCACCATAAATTCAGCACAATAATCAATGAAGCTGCAAGCGTCAAAATTGCAATCAAGTAAAGCGATAAATCTTCCTAGAAGATCCATTGGCTCATTAAACCAATCAAATTGATTGATATTCAAAGAACAAGAATAAACAGGTTTTCTCACATAATTCATGTCACCTAACTGATTGTTGTGCTTTCGTTTACTAGAAAGGGAGGTAATTGAATCAAGGTCAAAGGTCAAAGATTATTGTAAGATATAAATATTGCTAACTTACTCGTCGTCTCCTCCTGCTCGACGTCGACGTCTGGCTTCTCTGCGTTCTTCAAGACTTGCCATTCTGATTGGTCAATTTATTGGTCAGTTTCTCACTTTCTACGAAAAAAATCTGAAATTGAATAAATAGTGAATGTTTATATTAAAACTTAATAATCCATGTCTCTGATTCTTAAATAATTTGTGGGGTTGGGTGACATGGTTTTGATTCTGCGCTTGAACGTGGCAAGGAGTACGGTCATCTGTCCTACCTTGTGGATTATATCCAGGTGCTGCGGATTCCTCCCACCTTAAGGTAATTAATGAAATATAACGGAACTATATGTTAGTCCAAAAATAACCTAGCTTTGTGCCAGGTGAATGTTAAACTCACTCTCTCTCTCTCTCTCTCTCTCTCTCAGATAACCATGACATATCTGGTTATTTGTGTGTGAAAAGATTAAAATCTAGAGAAAGTTAGAGAAATATAACTGTCTGTAGCTCAGATAACATCAATTAAAGGTTGAAGTAATGGAATGAGAAAACCAAAATAATTATCTCCCTTGATGCATCAGGCAATGTAAAAAAAATCCTTGCATGTTGCAGCTGATTTAATATCCATCTAAAGTTGAAGTAAATGAATAAGAGAACTGTGGTCTGAATCCATATTAAAGAAATAATTATCTCCCCTGGTGCATCAAGGGAGATCACTCTCCCCAAATTTGGAGAAGACACTTTGCTTTTTTTTTTAAACATCTCTGTTAATATCACAATTTATTGTTTATTCTACAGATGTCTGGTGTGGTGTGAGTTAATTTTAGACATGAAGTCTGCCTGTATATCTTCTTTTTTTTTTATAAGATCATGATAATTTTTTGAAGAATGTATTTCATTCACAAACTTAAACAAAGAACTAACTGTTCAGCCATGGGAAAAGTTTCAAAATTTGATATAATGTGGCAAATCTTAACTTCAGAAACTTAAAGCGACAGAAATAAATGAGGGTCTTCCTAAATCTGATCAAACTTTGGCCTTAATTTTGTTGGTGTTATAATTTGGTTGTCCTATTTTGTAGTTCTAATGAGCATATGGTCCTTTGAAAGGTCTGAGCTTTATGCTATGACAGAGAGAGACTCAGAGAGAGACTCAGAGAGAGAGACAGAGAGAGAAAGAGAGAGAGAGAGTTTAACTCCACTCCACACAAAAGCAGGGTTCAATTTTACTTCAATAAATGGCTTGCATGTAGGGGTCTTCAGAGAAAACCAAAGTTGGACAGGTGATCCTACTCCTTGTCACGGACAGAGTATCAAAGCTACGCCACTTGACTCAATGACAGACCTTATGATCTATAGCACACATGTTAACGCATTCGGCCACTCAACCCACCGTTTCAGGTACAAACCCAACAAGTGGGATAGGGTAGCTGTTAAACAATTTACAATTAAACTTTTATGATTAACAATCCACATCATATGTTTAGTGTCGATTCGGTGAGTAAGGATTTCCAGAGCTTGATGGCGATGTTGTTTGAAAAAGTTCCCCAGAATTTTCCAGCGTGGAGGACCTGGCAAGGTATTGTCTGTCTAGTCATTCAGAAGGGATGAAAAACCTAGGTCTCGTTTATACATTGGTGTGCATGTAAATGAACTATTAACAGTTAGAATTTACTTTAAGAGTGTGCTGTAGCACCACTGTCCAGGCAATATTACCCTCATACCACACTGTATGACATATGCTCGTCTTCATTAGCCCAGTAGGAGCAGAACTGTAGCACGTTAAACCATTTTCAAATCATTTCGTTTAAAGTATTAGTCTGTGCATATAAAAGATCCCTTGGCAGTTTGAATTCGATATAAGAGTAGGCCATAGTGCCGCTGCCTGGGCAAAATTTGCCTCATAGCACACTGTATGGTACATGTCCGTCTTCATTAGCCCAGTCAGAGCAGAACAGTTGGATGTTTAACCACTTTCAAATCATTTCATTTTATTTCATTAGTCATGCGAATTACCACTCCTACACACTGTTCTAATTATATACATAAACCTTTTACAAATACACATATATTTCAATGTCATTAAAACTTTCTACCTGCCAGACAAGTTACCTGGCACTATTTCCTCGTTAGTCATACCTTCTACCTTAATCACCAATTAAAATATAATTTCAAACTAATTTAAATTCTATTAAAATAAAATTACAAGTTATTCCCACTACTCTCTTTTACATCAAGTATTTGTTAAGCATACATTATGCAAGAGCTAAATTTGTCTATTGCAGGTCTTTCTTTAGGCCTGAAATGTTATCTAAATTATTAATTAGACATTAATTAACTTATCCAGACCATAATCAACCCTCGATGGCATCACTAGGCTGATATGTTTATTGGATTAAGTTCCGATTTGCTGTTAGACTTCCATTCACAATTTGATCATGAAATGGATAATCAAGACTATGTTTATTTTTATCGTACTGGCTTCAGTAATGATGATCGAGGCTAGGCTGAAAATTCAATCGCTAAAATCTCGGTTCATAGTGGATCAATTTGACTGAAATTTTCAGCAAATTCCCTTAACATTGTCTAGTTTTTAACTATTATAGTGAGAACTGCCAGCTCTTTATCTAATCTCCCATAATGTATCTTTAAGTCTGAGAATGGTTTGTGACTACTGGATAAAACTAGTTCTATTTTTGAACTATTGTAGCAAGAATGGCTCTCTCTTTCTCTAAATCTTACAAAATGAAATGAAATGGCGTTTAACGTCCTACTGTTCTGCTCCTATACTGGGCTAATGAAGACGGGCATACACCATACAGTGTGCTATGAGGGAAATTTTGCCCGGGCAGCAGCACTATCGCCTACTCTTATATCGGATTCCAACTGCCGGGGGATCTTTTACGTGCATTCCAATACATACACAGGACCTCGTTTTTTTGTCTCATCCGAAGGACTAGACAGCTGTCCTTGTCAGGCCCTCCGTCCTGCATCACTGACAAGGGGAAACCACGCCGGAAAAACTGGATATACTTTCTCGGCCAATGCAGGGATCGAACACCCGACCTCCAGGCTAGCGAGCCAGCGTCTTACCCACTTAGCCACGTGATCCCCTCTAAATCTTACATAATGTATCTTTAAGTCTGAGAATGGTTTGGGACACCTGGATAAAACTAGAATCTTCCGGTTTGTGAGACAGCACACCTTAAATATTTGTAATCTACATGTAGGTAACAGAATATAAAATATGCTACACGTAACCTAGGTAACACTTCTGTATATTCAAGTTAAAAGATGGTTTGCCAGGCAACAAAACATACTCCCACATCAGTTAAGTTGCTCTGACAGCTGTCCATGAAGCTTTTAACATTTCTATTCTTTTGTAGTATTAGAGGCATGTACTAGACAAACCATGAAGTAATTATAAGAAATTTGATAGGCTTCTTGTTCTTCTTCATGATAACATAAACAAAATGTGTCAGTATTCAGATGATAACTTAAGCTGCTTGAATTCTCAGGAGAGAGAGAGAGAGAGAGAGAGAGAGAGAGTTTAACATCCATTCAACACAAACTAGGTTATTTCGAGACTAACATATGGTAATCTTATTTCAATAATTACCTTGAGCGTAGGGGTCTTTAGCAGTGGGAAGCAACAGAAAGAAGACAAGGAGAAAACCCACGAGGCTGGACAGGTGATCATTCTCCTTGTCATGTACAACTTTCACATTGACGCAAATTACAATGTCACAATAAAGTCATCAATAACAACACAACTGTCGTAGTCTGATTAAAATACAGATTAATATTTCGTTTCATTTTTTTATACTTTTAATGGCCTACACTACATGAAGATCCGACCAGTTGTAACGATAGGTCGCGTCAGAGGTCATACAAGCGACTTTTGACCCTAAGACATCAGACATTTGATTACCCAATCAGCATTGATGTTACTAGTAGATTACCCACAGTTCCGTGAAAAACATGCCTAAAGCTCGCCGTAATGGACCGTTTTATTGGCTAAGCCCTCACACCGTAAAGACAAGTAAAACGAAATTTTGAACTATAAAAATGAAACGAAATAGGATCTGTGTTTTTTAATCAGATTGCGATTGTCGAAAACGTTTCGCTTTTTAATTCAGATTAAAGACCTGTACATGGAGATCGGCCTGCTATTTAGCTATGACATATAACTATGGAACTAGTATGTAAACATTCAGAAATAAACTAAAATATACCTAGAACATATCCCCTACCTGTCAAAGAATAATTCCAAAAGTTCAGAGAATTTAATACTATACAGACTATTAATGCACAGAAACAGGTGTGGTATATAGAAGTATATTCCCTGCTCCTTACAGTAGGCTACAATAACCTTAATGACCTATCAAAAGTTTCAAAAACTCAATGCTTTCTAACATTAATAATCCATATAGATAGATCCTATTACAGGTATGATATATGAACTATAGTATACAAACTACAATGCACATTGACAGGTGTGGTATATGGAAGTATATTCCTTACTACAGACATAACGATAACCTTTACGACCTACCTGTCAAAGAAACAAAGAAAATTCCCAAATTTTCAAGAATTCAATACTTTCTAATACTAATAATCCATATATAAACAGGTATGGTATATGAACTATGGTATACGAACTATAATACACAGACACAGGTGTGGTATATGGAAGTATATTCCCTACTGCGGACAGTACAATAACCTTTATGACCTACCTGTCAAAGAAAATTCCAAAATTTCAAAGAATTCAATACTTTCTAATACTAATAATCCATATATATACAGGTATGGTATATGAACTATAATACACAGATACGGGTGTGGTATACGGAAGTATATTCCCTACTACCAACGTACAATAACCTCTATAACAGTTACTTCTACAAGATTTACACAAACTGAGAGATTTAACTGCTTCTTACATTAATCAATCTACAGATGAAAAAATTTACTCAAATTCCACAAGCAGACGGCTTGGAGTTTTACACGCCATATGTCTTATCATATTATAATACGACCCCTGGGTTACTACCAAAATCAACCAATAAAATCTCTTTATTTTATAATAATCAGTAAGTAAAGTATCGGATATCGTGGTGGAGTTATTAATGGACCA